GAGCCTCCGCCGAGCCGAAAACCGAGAGGCCGGAAGTCCCACGGATCACGCCAGATATAGGCCGGAAAGTGCGCCTCTCGCGAGAACCGCCGTCTCCGCCCAGCCTCCCCGCGACGCCCTTGCCGCCATGTTTCTTGTGGGCCGGCACCTGAGGCCGGCGGCTGGAGGGCCGGGCGCCGCGGTGAGCTGTGGTCAAGGGTTCGGAAGGGGTCGTGGGTGCTTCGCTCCGGAGGAGTCAGAGAAGAGGGGCTGCTCCTGAGACCCCGGGCCCTCCTGTGCCCGATGCCCTTTTATCGTGAGGGTCACCCTAGGGTCCCTGGTCACCCAGCGCCTCGCCCCTCCCCGAGGGGTCCGCACTCCTATCCCGAACTCCATCACCACCGCGGCCCCGGGCCCCTCCAGTTCCTTCCTTCCTGCCAGGTGCGTTTTGTCATTGAGACGCTCTGTTTAGGTCTAAATCCAGTCCGATTCTTAGTTCCGAGGTTCCGCGGTGCCCAGAGTCTCAGACGCCGTCACCCTGGGCTGAGCGACTTTCTGAGATGCCGAGTTTCGGCCCCAGCTCCTGCGCTTGAAATCCAGGCTCCGGCCCCGCCCAGGCGGCGCGGGGCTCCGCGGCCGCGCCCATGACCAAGCCCTCCGAGTGATCGCCCTGCCTTGGGTCCCCTCCGAGAACGGAACGCGGGGGACCGCTGCATCCCCAGAGCCAGGTCAGCCGCTGCCCACCCCAGTCGAGGAAGGATGGGTGTGGTTCCCCGATCTGGGTTGGACGTCGGGGAGGGAGCGGGTGAGGATAAAGCCTCTGGGGGTGGCCTGGAAGGAGCTGGTCTGGGAGGGATGGGGAAGGCTGGGCTCTGGGGAGGGGGTAGGGAGAGCTGCACCCGGGAAGGGGTGAGGGAGGGGTAGGCCTTGGGGATCAGGAGGGTAAGTCCTGGTCACGGGTGGGGGGCTCTGGGGAGAAGGAGGGGAGGGCTGCCCTCAGGAAAGATTGAGGAAGGGGTAGTCGCTGGGGATCAGAAGGGAAAGTCCTGGTCTTGGTGGGGGAGCAGTTTTTAAACCATTCCCCATCTGTGCAGGCAGGTGGGGTGACAAGAGGGACCTGAGCTGGCTCTGCAGGCCTGGCCGCCTCCCCAGACAGCCCAGCCCCTGTGGGCACAGACCTGAAACCTCTCCCTGCCCTCTGAGGGTGGGGTGTGTGTCTTCTTCAACAGCATTTCCTCCCCTGGCCATCCTCCCCCCCGGGGCTCCTGCAGCAAGCCGGAATCAGTATTTGTTACAAGTGTGGTGCTTTGTGGCTGATGTTTGTTGAGGGCTCATGATGTACCAGGATCATGCTGTTTACATAGGTGAAAGCACTGGATCCTCACAGAACTCAGGATTGGTGGCATGATCATTCACACTTGACACATGAGGAAACTGAGACTCAGAGCTGAACCAAGGTGACACATTTGGTGGTTGGCAGATCTTAGATTCAGACCCAGTTATGTTTCATCTGGAAGCCTGTGCTGTTCACCGTGCGCTACTGCCCTGGCTTCCCGGGCTTCCCAGCCTGTGATGGTCCTTTATTTGCACACTGATGTTGTGCAGGCCCTGAGCAGGAGTGAGCACCTGGCTCCTGAGCTCAGGATGGTGTTTTTAGTGTGTGCTGAGTTATGTGAGCACCGAGGAGTTGAGCGAGTTCCACAGGATCAGGGTTCCAGGCTGGTTTTGCTGCAATCCAGACTGTGTAACCAAACCTTTGAACTTAATAAACATGTTTCTTCACTTCAGACAGGAATATGGTGAGCACCGAGTGGAATAACTGAGGGTGTTAAGCTGTCTGAAGACTACGTTCTAGCTTTTGTTTAACTCAGATCTCTTTGGTAATGATGTGGGTAGATAAGCTCCTCAAGGTCGTGACTAGCTCTAGTTGGTCCTGCTCATGCCACTTGACAGTGCTTCAGAGGCCAGAATCAATTCGTCAGCTGAATCTTTAGAGCCTTCAGAGAACTTCCTGGAAAGGACCCAAGCAAACTTCTCTCACGTGTAGAAGTGGGCCCCAGAATGGTGACAGGATCATGCCAAAGTGTCCCCGTGGGTTCCAGCCCAAGTCACCTGCTGCTTAATATTTAGTCAACAAAGAATAAAGAGTAGCCAGGCTCAGTGGCTCAGCCTGTAACCCCACGCTTGGGGAGGCTGAGGTGAGTGGATTGCCTGAACCCACGGGTTCCAGACCCGCCCGGGCAACTTGGTGAGACCTCATCTCCACAATAAATCAAAAATTAGCCAGG